GCTCGGAGCTGTCATATAAAACTCCAAATGCAGTCCTTCCAATCAACAGTGATTAGGTGGGGGTTGGAGGTATGAGCTTCAAGACCAAAGATTACAGGTCCTGTGCAATCTGCAGCAGAAGCTGGGGGTTAGGGGTAGGGAGGTGGTATATATAGAGATGAATTAAATAAGATAACAGTATAAAGAAGAGAACCAGGGAGTATAGAATGCACAGCAGCATACAGAACAGAGTACCGTGTGTAGCACATTTATAAATCTATGCTATCTGCCAGAATTATTTGTCACACTTATCTTGCATGGCTACATAGTGTTGATAATTAAGGCAGAATAAAATTGCAGCAATTGTGAGCTGGCAACATTTAATTACCGGCAAATCTAATTGAGAAACATTAGCTCAGCTGAAGCTGAAAAGATCCAATTATTTCAAGTTGAGAGAATGGCTATGGCATCCTTCAAATTTAATGTCACTTGCTTTGCGGGCGAGATCAAACAAGCAGCATTGGAAGGTGTTTATACCATATATCTTACACTTGACACCATTTAGACGCCAGAATTACAGGGATCATACTTTGACCTCGAAGGTTTTGTTTGCACACATAGTGCGGCTTGTTGCCTGGAGGGATAGAACATAAGCATGCTGACAACCCTGAACTACTCTTCACTGCTGAATGACCTATCACCTCTCTATGGTGCCTATGCACGAAACCTGTAGGACAGAAGCCCCACGGATACACCCGTACCCTAGAAGAGGAGTGTATGTCTACATCAGCTATTGGAAGCTTAAGGGCCTGTTCACATGACATCAGGTCCTGATCAGGTGCGGATCTGCATATGCGATGCTACTGATGCAGTGCGTTTTTGATGCGTTCCAGTTAAAAGAAAAAAAAATTTTTTTTGCTGGAGTGGGGCTGTCAGTATGTTAGGCGCCGTGCGTTTGACGCATTTCCGGTCCGTTTCCTAACCAGACAAAATGTGACCGGCAGTATTTTTTCTGTTGTAACCTGAACGGACTGCGCACGTGAGAACTGTGCCCATAAAGCACATAGGGATACATTTTTAGTGCAGGAGCGTACGGATCAGATCAGCACAGAAAACGGACGTCGTGTGAACAGGCCCTAAAACACTTAGATCAGAAACTATGAATCCCAACAGGAAAACGAATGTCAATCTAAGCTGCACATACACATCTAAAGTTTTTACATATTCCAAACAAGCATAAGGGGCCATCACTGACCTCTTTAGTCTCCTGTCCCATGACCAGATTCATTCTCAGAATGTAAACAAGTCTGAAGTCTGGTTTCAGTTGGTTTCAAACAGCTTTTAAACACCTGCAGTGAGTTTACATTAGGGGGGCTGACCGGCTGTCAAGATTCTCATCTGCATTGAAAGTGTTAAGACGCTGTGATTTGGGGCTCATTCATAAGGCCACAGAGGGTCATAAATGCACATGTTTATAGGTGTTCTGTGCAACTGCAACCAGCAGCCTGTAAGAACCAATGGATGCACGGCCCTGGATGCAGACAGACTGTGCCCAGGCCATGCATCCATCTTTCTACGAATGCAAAGCTTCGATATGCAGGAAGATCTGGAAGTCAGTCAGCCTGCAGGTGATTTTTTTTTCCAGACTGCTAGTCAAGGCTGCACAGAATAATTGTGTTTCTCAAGGGCATGAATACCGGCATTATTGGCTCTGAGATCGGGTGAATGAGACCTGGGGTCTCGGACTTCATTTCTCATCAATGCCTGTAGTTACAGAGGTGAGAAGGGTTTGTTTTAAAGTGTTCCGTATACAAGTGCATAGTCAGGCCTCAGGTTCACTTTACTTAGTAAGAAGTAGCTTTTTACAGACATTGTGGCTTCTTTAAAAACAATACTAACCCCTGGAGTGGAGCTACCATCGCACTGCAAGGGTTAAGTGCCCATTTTCATCTAGGAGCAAAAATAACAAAGTTATACTCAAGGCCCACAGGCGGCTGGCTGCTAGACCGGTCCCTTCAGTCTCACTGCCCCCCGCACCCTCCACTCTGACGGTCTAAGGTCCTCTGAGACATCACTTCCAATACTGTATATGGGATGTGAGGATGCCAAGGGACATTCCATCACTGAAGCAGGGGAGGAAACAAGCTGAAGGGACTGGTCTAGGAGGCAACTGGCTGCCAGCTTCAGGTGAGTTTAACTTATTGTTGCTCCTAAACAAAAACCAAAAACAGAAAAGGGATGCGAAAGTTTACACTGGTCACCGGAACAGGGGGGTAAATACACCTGCTACAGTGACAACGAAGAGGTGAATTCCCCTTTGCATTGGAGACTTTTCTTTACAGTTTATCTATAGATCTAAAGCAGGAAGAAGGAATGTCTGATGGATTTATAGACTGGCAAGACTTTCATTTCATTCTTTTGGAGAGACTATCTGCCATTTCATGTAAAGCAACCATTCCCTTTATATATTTGAACATAGACTCTTATTTTGCTCAAAACCACATAACCTTGGCCCTGAAATTTCTTAATGTTCCCAATTCGATCGAAAATGTTATTTTATCATAGAACATTATCTGCTAGAATGTAGCTCATCTGGATGGTAGCCATGAGAAACAAACAGGTATATTGCTACGCTACGAATTCCAGAAAATGAAATCAATAGTTTGCTGCTTGAATGAAATGTTCTTTGTATTGGTCACATGACATATTCTAGGATGCAGCTTTTCTATCTGGTAAATACCACTTTTATTCATTTGTGAGAAGGATCTTTAGAACAGCCATGTTTGATTGTTCTCACGTGTGTTAAAATAAGTTGACACCTTTCACACAGCATTCTTATCAGGTCCGCCTTTCGCTTTTTTCGGAGAACCAGATTGAAAGGATCATCATTATTTTATGGTGATTGGGATGTAAACAGACCTACGTCAATTTATCTCCATTTACCTCCGAGTCAGTAATCAAAACACATGTCCGCTTACATCCAAACTCCCCATAAACCTTACATGGGTCCAGTCCGTTCCGTTTTTTCCTCCATCGCAAGATAGGGAAAATAAACTGAACAAAACACAGATGTCACAAAAGTGACATCCATTCCATGCTGCTCTGATCAGAATCGCTGATCGAACAAACACCACCCATGTGGCATAGCGAAGATGGGTCTACCCTTTGGGTTTTTGCAGAAGACTTGTATCTAAACCTCTGTTTTTAACCTTAGCGGTGAGACAAGTTTTTTTGCATGCTGGCTGGTGAGTGTGCTGGGAAACGTTTTGCGCCATTTGCTCCCCTATGGGACTGACACAGCAAAAACAAATATCTGACGGGTTGTAACCATTCTTTACTATACTAGATAGACTTTAGGTTATGAGTAGAATAGGAAGGGTTATAAGCGCTGCCAGGTTTGCACCGCTTTCTGTGACCTCACTGAAGAGACTTACCTCACTTCCTGTACCAAAGAAAGTGAAGAGAAACCCCAATGTTTACTGTTACCACTGAAACTGAAGGTGAGCAAAAATTGCCTAATACGGCAACAACCTCCAACGACAACTGTCAAAGCTGGGATTTCTTCTAATTTGGCGAGATTCCCTTTCATTACTTCTTATATCCCGGCGACAGGAAGTTAGGAAAGTCTCCTTAACGAGGGACAGAGAAAAATAAAACCTGGCAAAAGGTTCTAAACCTTCCCCCTAATTTATACAAAAGCTAAAAAAGTTAGTACTGTCTCTGAAATGGTTAAACCACAAAACTGAGAAAACAAAATACTGCAGAAATAAAGAGGCAGCAATAAGCATACAAGACAGGTTTGTATTTGGTCACTCTAATCAATAGACAGGATTGCAGGTCAGCACGTAATACTCGATGTTACAGGATCACTCAATACTCCTTTACGCATGTAACCAGGTTTAGGCAACCTGCTCCATAAACAAAACTGGAGCCGTGTATGAGTGATAAAAGGTTTGTTTGTAGCTACCAGTAAGTGAGTCAGAAAGGGCAACCATAAATACAACAGTAAAACGACAGTACAATGATATCTGCAACATTCCACAACATATGATGAATATATCACCGTACTTTAAAAAATGTTTTCATGTTAAATCCTTTTTCTAAAAAGGATTTGCTCAAAGATCACGCATAAGCCTGTAGAACAGGACATTCTTACCTAGACCTGAAGCACCTTCCCCGAGGGGAAATTTACAAAAAACACAAAAACGTGCTGTCAGTCTCCTTATGACAGAAAACAAAAATACTTCTTTAGCATGCATGAAGTCAAAGAAGAACCATAAAGAACCTAAAACAACCAAAAAATCCTCAGATTATATCTCCAAGTGTTTGCAGTATAGCAAATAAAACTAACAAATGTGTTAACGCCAAGCCACAGACCTCAAATTTCATTGTAATTCTATTAAGCTCAGTGTACGTCTTCCAATGAGGTGCTTTATGTTGTTGCATTTTTCATTTTCCAAACAGGGCAAACAGTGTTTTTGATATATGCTGGATGATATAAAGGGTCAGTCCACCCATAAATAAGGCCCCTTCCACATGGGCAATGTCCATTCCAATCAGCAGGGGATCTGTGCATGGATCCAAGCAGTATGGAATATAGTCACTTCTGTGACATCCGTGTCCATTTAGTTCTTTCCTCCATCTTACAATGGAGGGGGGAAAAAACAACTATCCTGGCCAATGTTATGTCTAAGGGCAGTCGGATGTAAGCAGACATGTGTTATCATCAGATTACCTCCGATCTGTCACGATCAGGTGCACAAAAACAGAACTTTGTTCCATTTTTCTGTTTTCCGTACCTAGGTTGCGTCGGGGGTAGTCAGATGTAACCGGATGCCCATCCATTTAGATCCGGCAGCTCATAGAGCAACATTGGGGTTCCGATCAGTTCTGCCTGAGAAATAAGACAGGTGGACCCAATCAGATTGACCGTGTAAAAGGGGAAATATACTTCAGTTACAAGTGTCACCTTCTGCCTTGTTTTTATAAAAGGCCACTGGCAACCTCTTTCTGGCTCAGTTCTGTTCAATTTCCCACAAAATAACACAACCTAAAAGCCGAATAAGACCCCTTATATGGGATATTACAAGCCAGCAGGCCTTGCCATCAGAAAGCCATAGAAAAGAAAGAAACCAACATCAACTAAATAAATCATGTCTGATGGTGGACTGAGAGCTGGAGCTGCTCGATGTGGAATTTATTTGGCTACTACAGAGAAATTTGGGGTCTTGGCAGACACGGTCTGAAATCGGATCCGTCCAGTCATCAGGGAAGTTTACATGAGTGCAGCACAGAGGCTCTTCTGCACAGCAATGAGATCCTGATGTGTAAATGTAAACATAACTGCATAATGTATGTAAACATAACTGCATAATGTTCTATATAAAGACAAGGATCACACGGGTTATATCACAAGGGTTATACCTAGAACTACAGCGTGTGGTGTAAACTGCAACTGAAATTTAACGCTTTGCAGAGCTAGAAATTTTAGAGAAGGAAAAAAGCTGAAGCACAGCATGAAGTAAAAACATATGCAGCAAAAAAAAAAAAAACACATACGTAAAAATGTAACAGACAGATCTAAATGCATGACAAACTTTCATATGCCAAGTATCCTTAAACAAACAGAAGAGTAGTAACATGACACTTACCTCTACACTAGCAAAAATGTCAGCCGAAGTAAAGCTTTCCTTCTGGGGTTCAGATTTCCCATAGGCAGCATCAGCAATGCCGTTCTGATTGATTGTGTCCGGCCCCATGTGTACACCATTCACTGCAGCAGCTGACTTAGAAGTGATCTTCACCTTGTCCCCTTTGTTGTCTGTCACTTTGGAGCTGGCCGTGCAGGTTAAGGCAGCAGCCGAGCTGGAGGAGCGTGTAGAATTTGAAGAACTTGCTCTCTCGATCTCATCCTGAGTCTGCTTTAAGACTGCAGTTCTGGGAACTTTACCTGAAGCATATTTTGTATGGGTTGGGGCATGTGCAAGTTGGCTGGGGAAGAGCTGCTTATTAATTGGTTGTTTGTGAAGTTTAGCAATAGCTGCCTCCGCTTTCAGGTCTTGATCGAGAGCAGATTTCTTTCTTGCTATTCTGACACTAGAGGATATGGCTCTAGGAGATGCCACAGGTGATGATGCATTCGATGCAGACTGTGGAGACCTGGGAGATGCCTTAGAGGTGGGTGTGGGGCAATCCCTTATACCCAATGCAGGTCTAGACAGCACTTTTGCCTTAACATTTCTAAAGTTTGGTTTGGGAAAGCTGACCACCTCAGGCTTCTTGGCTTTAACAGTTGTCACAATGGGCAGCTTTTTACCAACATGCTTTACTGCGACATTGCCGGAGCCAACTTTAGTTTCTACACCATTCCCTTTAATAGCCTCCTTGCCATTATCAATTGTCTTCACTTTCTCAATTTGCCCCAAATCATCCAAAGCAGGTACAGCAAAAGTCATATTCCTGGACTCCGGCAAGGGTGTGGAAGTATAAGCCTTAGCTTCTGTGTTCAAACTGGGACTAGCTACTAAAAATGTGTCTTCACAGTCAAGCCCAGATAAAATATTTAACAGGTCTTTCGATCCTGAACTACAAGACTGTGTTCTGCTGGAGGACTTTGGTGTTCTTGTTGAAGACAATTCTTTTTTCATGTCTTTGGCTTCAAGGTAATTATCCTTTGTTTGTACAACTGGATTAATGGCTTCTTGAGGTGTTGCAGGGAGAATACCTACACTATTTTTGTTAATATCATTCTCAATTAACATGGCTGTGCTCAAGTTACTGAGATTTTCAAGAGCCATTTCATCGCCCTCTTCTGGAGTGCTGCATGCGATTACATCCCCATGACTGTCAAATACCTGGTTTGCAACTTCAGGCCCTTTATTGATTAGCACCTTTTCTTTGGGATCTTCAGGGATGTGTGGAGGCACTTCAAAATAATTCAAGTCTTTACTGCACTGCTCAACAGATTGGCAGCAATCCTGAACGTTGTTCGTCCACTTCAAAGATGCAGAAAAAACCTCAGTGGAAGTATTCGGTAATGCAGAGCTTTCTAATACAGAGGTACTCATTGGCTTTTCAGAGTCACTTGAAATAATGCTATTTTTCCTCATGTGCATTTCACTGCTCGTGTCACATGACAATGAGAACAAACCCAGGGTTGCCTCCAAGTCTTTGTGCTTAGTGATTGGTGAACATAAATTCACCTGCTCAGACGCAAGATTCCCACAAACAACATCCATCGGATTTACAGTGCATGGAAAAGACATGACCTGTTCAGGTTTGCTGTAATAGGTTTTAGAGGAGTAAGGCATAGGCTCGTCAACATTCTGTAGGTTGTGCATATATTGGAAATTACTAGGATTGGAGAGGAATTCATTGTGTAAACAAATAGGGGTCCTTGGGGGTAAGGAGCTCGGCTCCTGCTTATTAACATAATCTACCGTTTCTTCTAACTCTATGGTGCCAATATGGAGAGTATTTTTGACATCTGAAATTTCACCATCAGTTTGTTTATGTAAATAGTCTATTGTATTCTCAAGCTCAAACCCAATAGGCCCTTGGGGAACAGAATCACCACTTGGCTGATTCTTGCACCATGCTGGATCATTAGAGTTCATGTTCCATTCACATTCAGAACAATTTGCCTTTTGCTCTTCATTTCCATTTCTGTGGTTATCAAAAAGTAATGGGGAGCCATATGCATTCTTGGGGGAGTCCTTTGGATTTTGCACATTCATCCTGCTGCTTTACAGCTTGATACACCTCAGTCAGGACATTTCAGTCTTAGAAGTGGAGTACACCTACAAAGGAAGTCTTTCTATCGAGGTGTTATGGGACAGATCCATGCAAGGCAGATGTATCAGATATGAAATATTTCAGTTTCTGTTATGTGTTCATCAGGACATAAGCCAGTTCCATCTGTAAATTGAGAAAATAATATTAGGATTTGTAAATGCACAAAAAAACCAATGACAATTTTTTTTAACCAGACTTCAATTCTTTAGCTGGAGGCACCAGAAGTACCGCTTCGGGGTGCATCTGTTCCAGTAGAAAGCAGTGGATGGGGTTCATTAGTCAAAATTGTATTAAAAATTAACTCCACCTTCTGTTTTCTCAAATAGGGAGTCATGGACACACTCCTTGGCCTAGGCATCATCACACAGTCTTTGCACAAAATACATAGTACACTGCTTGCACAACACAACGTTGGGACATGCAAGTTCTGTTCTAAAGCCTGACCACACCTTGAGTTGGACACCACATGGAATACACCCAGAACAATGCTGTATTTACACTTTTTAAAGTTTAGTGTGGTAAGGGGAAGCTAAAGTTGGGCTTTAAGATAATACCTAGCCAATTCACAAACTATTCAGTTCTCCAATAATACTTGTGCTTTAAGTCAGATACTGGTTTTTGCTAAGGCCAGGTTGACACCTGGGCGATCCATGACCGCGTGGCAATCATGCACGATACCAAGTGCGGTGCATTCCAGACCTGTAACTGCTGGAACGCAAAGCAAATCGATCACTAAACTTTCCCCTTCGTTCTGGGGTGGGAGGGGGGCGAGGTGGTGCATTGAAGTCAATGGCACCGCAGCCACACACCGCTAGCAGTGCGAGCGGACGCGTGGCAAAACACTGCCTGCTTTCCAGTCCACTGCGAACGCAAATAGACCATGCACCATTTTTTGCATTCACAGTGGACCAGAACGCAGGCAATGTTATGCCACGTGTCCGATCACACTGCAGGCAGGGGGCATGGCTGCGATACCATTGACTTAAATGAACCGCCCCAGAACGACGTTTAGTGAGCGATTTGCTGTGCATTCCAGCAACTGCCGCTTTGGAACACACTGCAGTTGGTGTGAATGTGCCCTTAAACTGTTCCACAAGGTTGAGATTTATCAAGCTGTAAAAATGGTTAAAGTTTGCTAAATTTACCTTTCTTTCACAATATTTTTATGGAGCTTTCAAGAAGAAAAACAAAACTGGCCAACAAAAAAAATACAAATGGGTGCTACGCAGAACATTACATAACCAAAATGTATAGTAAAAAAGAAAAAGAAAAAGAAAAAAAAGGAATTCCAAGCAGTGCAGTACAACATCAACAGAGTAATCATAATAACTAGAGATGCACATATATATCTGCCGCCGAAACATATCGGCCGAAAATGGCACTTCTGGCATAATGCCGAAAGTGCCATTTTCCTGTTGATACATCGGCGCGCTTATCCACAATTATGAATGAATGGGAAGTGATCTACATCACCTCATAGTCATTCATGATTGTAGTTATAGTAAACACACTCTGTCCTCATGTTATCAATGAACAGGAACACTCAGGGGATCCCTGTACATTGATAACAAGGGACACAGAAAAAGAGATGGAGGACTTTGTGTCCTAAATCTCTTTATTTTAAAAAAGGGAAATATCAGGGGCCTGTTTAGACCCCCAATATTTCCCCAAAGCCCCTAAAAAAAGTCATGTAAAAAAAAAAATCAAAAATAATAAATATGTAAAAGTTTATAAAAGATAAAAATTTAATATTTGAAAAATGTGAAAAAATTAAACATTTTCAGTATTGGTTTCGGCCTGACAATTTTTTATTTCGGTTTAGTTTTAAGAATTTCCATTTCAGTGACCCTCTAATAATAAGCAACATTAATTTTGCAAAGAGGTTACGGGCCATTGCAAAAGCTAGAGAGCAAACAATAGATACAGATAACAGACTGGGCCATCCATTAGTTAAGCAAACATTTCAGTACATAAAAGCACCAGGGCATGGGGGCTAGAATGAGCCAACAGAAAGAATTCGACTAAAGCAAAAAAGACATAAGAGGATGACACAAGGGAAAGGAAAAAGATTAAGTAGAAGAGGATAGGAAAAGCAGAAAAGTAAAGAACAGAGGAGTAGAAGAGTGAGAGAACCGGAACCTTAAATAGATAACCGTTAAGACCCAAAAGGTAGGTGGCCTAGAATAATTAATCCATGCGTATCCAACAATACTGTATAGCCATTTACGAAGATACGATCTTGACAACATTCTACTTCCCCCAAAGCTCAAGGACGAGGAATTCCATGAGCTTGCAATAGTAATTTTAGTAGCAACAAAGATATGGGAAACTAAAGCCCTCTGTAGACATTTCAGATGCAAAATGGGTTTCAGTAATAATGCCCCACAAGGATCTCTCATATGATAGACACTTTAGTAAACTTTGAAGGATAACTCCAGATACGATGATAACCCTCCTAGGCAAACTAAGCAAACATTAAGAATCGGCAAGAAACTTTATGAAAATCCTTGCAACAGCCTCTGTCCTGAAGATGTTTTTTGTATTTTAGTTAATATAGGTAAGCTACCAGCCAACCAAAAATAAAATGTGCTGTCTAGTAACTTGTTGCTTTAATGCACATGGTCTGAAAGCACCCCAAGAGACTAATTAGTAAAGATTTTAGTAACACAATTAAACTATTAAAATATCTGTGCTCCCTTACTTATAAATTAGTGCCCAACACCAACTTCACTTTTCAACAAAGAAAACTTCTTTAAAAAACAGCTACGTATGCAAAAGTATCCAGGAGGGTTTGACTTATTACATCAAGTTAGTATTTTAAAAATAACTTGTATTTAATAATAATTTTTAAAAAAACTCTTAAAATGGCTACTAAACATGAATAGGCATAACGTTCATCTTCATTTTGAACAAACGTACATTTGAAAAAAATACAGTTTGTTTCTACTTAAGCCTGTTATAATAGACCACATGAAGACTTCTAGAAACAGAATGCTCCCTCAGTATCCTTTAGGATTGACCTATTCTTACATCTCAGCACTTCAGGATTTAGGCACCATTCACACCAGGGGCTTTCATTGTTCATTTTTTTTCCCCGCACTGAAATGTATGCAACATCAAATCCCATGTCTTTCTATGGGGGCTGTTCACACAAATGTGCTGAATTGCGCGTCAAAATAGGCCTGTTTTTTTTTTAAACAGTCCCAGAGCTTCTTTTTTGGCACTATCAGCCTGTTTTGCTCCATAGACTTCAATAGAAAAGCGTAGCGTGTAGGATGTGTCCCACCAGTGGGAAGCATCTGTTCAATGGTGAACACGTCAGTATCTATAGACAGACTGCAAACTGCAGTAGACAACCTAAACAGTTGCATATTCGGTTTTCAGGCATACCCAAAATGTATTTATAGTGCACATATAGTGCACAGTCCACACAGCAGCAAAGCAAAAATTCAAGCATGAAGTTTGAAAACCAAAATCCTTTGCATCCATGTGTGGGGTGTGAAACAAGCCTAAAAACAAGACACTAGGTAAAATGTTGCATGTATACACCAATAAAAAGCACCATTTAGTAATCCCACATTGAGGGGGACTTTCAGGGAGGCGATTTACACGTGTGTGAAATATGAACAAATTGATTCAACGCAAGTCTTTTTAAAGCAACCAAGTCAAACTAGTCACTAAATGGAGGCTTGTTGTATGACAAGCTAGTTATTGAAGAGCCAAAATATCCTGAAGGCATCCCCTAGTGAACCACCAGCCCATCAAGCAGCTTAACCAATTAAAACCAGTCCTGGAAGCAAATAAGGAATTAAGGAGTAGACTTCACAATTCGTCTATAAAGAATTACCTTGCCAAACATAACGAATAGTGAAGAAAATATAGACTTGATTTCAGCCTAAAATAAGCATAGCCAACTGTAAAAGTGACTAGACAAAAGATGGTAGACCTGCAGTAATGCTCATATATTATTATTGCTTTATATTGCTCTTCCAGTTAATGCAGCACTTTACAAAATTAAGACAGAACAGTTACAATACACTTCAAAAACAAAAAGGTTTGGGGTGGGTTCAGTCCAACCTCAAGACTGCACCAAAGACATGTACATTTTGCCAAGCTTATATATATGGCTGGCCATAAACTGGTAATATTTTATCGTTCAGCCCTGCATGCTAAAAGGAGTAAGAATGCTAGATATTCCCATCCACGCTAAAAAATTTCCATACTGCGCTTTGGGCTTTTTTCTTTTGTTTGACTATGGTTGGAAATAATCAATTTGAATCTATTATCTACTTGATAACTAAACAAACGTTCCCAAAAATATTTTTTTTTGCTAAATTCTACTTGTGTATGGCCATCTTCAGTAATTTATATAAACTGTCATGCAAAAATACAATTTAATGTAAAGACTGGTCTTGAACCATAATAGGTTGTTCATCAGCAAAGTACTCCTAATTTGCCCTTTACCTGCCCCCCACTGCACAAGCAATAGATACTCTGATCATATTTATCAATCACAAAGCTGCTCATCTATACTGCACACAAAACTAAGTGGAGCAAGCATACAAGGATTCAAATGCAAATACTTTTATTGCTAAAATAAAAGCAAAACAGTTCTCAAGAGAACACAGTACTCATCAAATTTGACTATAGACAATTTCCTGTCCAACTGGCTCCTACAAATAAATGATGGGGGGAAAAAAAAAGAGAATACATTTCAGAGGGCACATGGGAATTTTCTTTAGTTTTTTTTTTTTTTTTTTTTAAGTGCACAGAAGCCCTTATTACATGAATGGTGCCCTTGCAAACCAGGGTGCACTAAAGGCAATGAGACAAGACGGGGCTTATTCATAGTATTTGAGGTTGAATAAAGACACAGGTCCATCAAGTTCAACCTATTGCGTGTATGTATGCGATTCTGCAAGTGTATGAGTCCCTGTGTGAACTTGTTTTTTTGTTTTTGTTTTTTTAATCAGTAGTCAACTTTATTGTACATCTGCACAGTACAATGATACAGGGAGGTCGTGCCTCCAACACAAGACAACATCCTCCATACAAATCTGGAGTATAGTATAAGTACATAAAACACGTTACATTGTAGGAGTATACTTGAGAGGATAA